CCCATGGAGGAACCAGGCGAGAAACTTCTGAGGTGCCTAAAGCTCGCAACAAACACATACCGTGTATAGCAGACTGGCAGCTTATAAAAGTTGAGCAGCCAAATAAAACCAGCAGACCTCTTCTCTTGGGCATTTGCGAATAATCTATTGAGGCTCTGTCAAAGGCGGACACCAGAAGTCGCTTTGGCATCCGCATGGCCAAGATGAAGATTTTTGTAGGCGACAAGGCTCCTGATGAAGACGGTATTTGAATCATAGCCGTGGAACAACTGTGTCTAGCTCTAAATCCGGACTGGAACGGGGACAATAACCTGATTTTGTCAAGATGGACATATATTTGTTCAGACATAAAAGACTCAAGTACTTTAGACAGACAGGCAAGATACTAATAGGACTCATTCCCACGACAGCCGGTTCTACGTACCGGAATGACTCGGGTTTCACCCGACCAAGGGCTGTTGTTTCGGCGATCTAACCCCGTTTAGGTCGGCGAAGTATCTCAGAAGTTGTCCGTCCATAGGGCAACATTCACTACGCATTCTCCTACTCAGGGCTGGCATCGAGTCAAACCCTGGGCCAGAAATATACACCTGCTGTGTATGCCGAAGACGATTACACCACAACTCCACCTCAGTCAAGTGTAATGCCTGCGAGGGGTGGAGTCACCTCAGGGTCTGCTCGGGACTACGGACACACAGACAGTGGACCACGTCGTACGTGGCCCCCTGTTGCTCAAACAGAGCAGCCTCCACGGCAAACCATAGTCCGCCCGTGCAGCCCCACACACTCACACAGCAACCACACACAGTCGCCACAACACAACATAATAACAGCACAGACCGCACCACAGCCACCACAGACCACATAACACACACAACCGCACCACCACCCACACGCCGCCGCCAACAACTCCTGGTTCCCCCTACAATCTGCACGGTATGTCAGACCAGAATATTCCGTAATGTGACATCAGTCAAGTGCAACACCTGCCTTGGCTGGTGCCACTTTAGGGCATGTTCAGGTCTGCGTACCACGCGAGATTGGACGGGGAACTTCGAGGGCCCGTGTTGCGCTGCTCGGTCGCAGACGTCAATTGCGACGCCCCCCCACCACCACCACAGGGCGGCAATCACCTCAGCAGCACACACAGCCAACGGCGGCAAGAACATACACCTCACTCACACCCCACATCACGACACGTCTCCCGAACCACATGAAGCTCCTCCAATTCAACTGTAACGGGCTACAGAGCAAGATTGAGGAGATAACCGTCTTCATGTGTCGGCATGGTATATTAATAGCTGCGGTCCAAGAGACGAAGTTGCACAGCAATTCAACTCTGTTGAATTGCGCCGGGTACAACGTGCACCGTCGAGATCGCGAGCGAGATAATGGTGGTGGCTTAGCGTTCATCACGCACCACACCGTGCAGTATCGTCTTATCGAAGCAGACATCGACCGCAGGGATACCACCCTAGAATGTCAGGGCATCGCTATCCGGTCAGGCGATGTCGAGCTCGAAATATTTAACATATACATACCCCCTGTCACCTGCTGCCCGGCAGGAGGGCATTTTTGCGTAAACACGTAAAGAGGCGACTGTTCATCAATTTCTGCGATTTGACAGTGCCTTATAATATGGCAATTCATGGCAAAAAAGCGACCTATAAAGAAACCAACTACATATTATCGTCGCCTGGCGAATAGAGACGCATACATACATATGCATACGTGTTTACCGCGAAAAATAAAAACACAGTGCGAAAAGTGAAGACATAATGTCAGATAACGACAAGTGTGTGAAGTGTAAAGTCCCAATAAGAGGGGAAACAGGTGTCAGATGTATGGGTGTGTGTGGGAAGGCATATCACACTGCACCAAGATGCTCTGGCTTAGATAACTTCCAGTATGGGGTAATAGGAACGCACCCAATGTTGAAATTTATTTGTGATGAGTGCATTACATATATACAAAATGTTGATATGGTAGTGCGAGACATGCAAGAAAGTGTAAACAAGAACAGTATGTATTTGAAGGAGTACAAAAATGAATTTGAAGAAGCATTGAATACGAACCAGCGGGAATTGAGAGAGTTAATGAATGCGATGGAGGTGAAATATAATGAACGATTAGCGACCCTAAAAATGCACCAGGAAATGTATGTAAGAAATGCAGCAGAAATAAAGAAAGTGCGAGAGGTAGTGGAACAAATGAAAAACACAGCTGATGTAGCTGGGAAGGAAAATGAAAAGCTATGCGGGGAAATAAAAACATTGGGGAAAGAAATAAAAGATAGTGCAACACAACAACAAACGTCATTTGCAAATATGGTGAAAACAAATATGAATAAAAATGCTGGTAGAGACGTGCCGGAATTTAAGAAACGTGCGCCTATTGTTGTGAAACCAAGAACCAAACAAACGAGTGAAAAAACAAAGCAGGATTTAAATAATAAAATTAACCCTAACGAGCTGAAAATTACAGACATTAAGACTGGTCAAAATGGTGTTATGATAATTGAGAGTGTTAATGTGGATGAAAGAGACAAAATCAAAGAAATTATGGATACGAATATTAGTGATGGATACGAAATAAAGATTCCGCGAGATTATAAACCAAAATTGTTTATAACAGGCATGAGCCTTGAAAAGTGTAATGACGAACTAATCGAGTGTTTAAAGAAGCAAAACCAATGTCTAGAAAAGGGTGAAGTTAAAATTATTAGGCAGTATAATGTGAAAAATAAAAATAATAGTTATTATAATGCAATAATAGAGGTGGATGAAGAAAGTTTTAATAACACTCTGAAATGTGATAAACTGAATATAGGTTGGGAAAGATGTAAAGTCTATGATGGTGTTGATGTGACAACGTGCTTTAAATGTAAAGGGTACAACCACAAAGCTGCTGAGTGCAAGGACGATGAAGTGTGCGCCAAATGCTTGGGAAACCACAAATCCACCGGATGTGTTAATCCACCGATAAACAAGTGCATAAACTGTATAAAGTCAAATGAAAAGCTCAAACTAGGGCTAGATATCAATCATCAGTGCAAGAGTAGGCAATGTCCGGTCTACTTGAAGCATTTAAATGCTAAAAAGCAAAGGCTAGGATATTAGCAACAAATGTGCAGGTTACAGGCAAAACCAACGGAGATAAGGGGAAGAAAACGAAGGGAAAATCTGCACACAAACAACATTCTAAATTGCATATATCTAAACGTGAACAGCATAATATCTAACAAAGGTGAATTAGAAGTGTTGGCGGCAGCACACAAGCCGAGTATTATACTATGCTCTGAGACGTGTACGACGGAAAATGTGGAAGATAGTGAATTAGATATAGCAACATACAAAATGGTTCGATGTGACTCACACAGCAGACACACTGGAGGAGTGATAATATATGTGCATAGCACAATTGACTTCAATATAATTTATAATGCAAGTGTTAATCGAAATATATGGTGCATAATAATAAAAATGAAAAAGGTCGATACAAAATTTCAAATTGGCGTGCTTTATCACTCGCCTAGCACAAGTGATGCAGATTTTTTGGATTATTTAACAGAAATATTACTTACTAAATATGATAAAAGCAACCATAATATAGTAGTGGGAGATTTTAATATAAATATGAACTACACTTCTACATATAGTACTAAACTGTCCGAGATATTTTCTGTAATGGGAATGTCCCAAAAAGTAGAGTTTAACACAAGAATTACAAATACAACTGAAACTAAAATTGATTTACTGTATTCAAATTCGGAAGAAATAGAATGCAAAAATTTGATGGATTTCAAAATCTCTGACCATGAAACAATACATTTCAGTGTCAAGACGTCGAAATCGTTCAAAATGAGAATGGTGAAGAAAATTACTGCTTGGGACAGATACAGTCGTGAAAGTTTACAAAACATACTAAGATCGTACAATTTCAATTTCTATAATAACTTGCAAATTGATGATAAAGTGGAACTTATAAACAACAACATAGTGCAAGCAATGGAAAGCTTGACTTACGAAAAAGAAGTGTATATAAAGCTGATGAATAAATGGTATGACCATGAACTGGCACAAATGAATAAAAATAAATTTAATATATACAAACATGCTATACAGACTGGAGTGTGGGATGAATACAGAAGTATAAATAAAAAGTACAAAAAACTAATTAAAATAAAAAAAGTTCAATTTATGGAAAATAAAGTAAAAATGAGTGAAAATAACGCTAAAGAAATGTGGAAGCACCTCAAACAGGCGGCTTGTCTTGCAGAGGATAACGATGGTATCAAAAAAGTTGTAATAGATGGTGTACTGGTTGAGAATGATACCGAAGTGGCTAATAAACTGAACCTATTCTTCATAAACAGTGTGATTGAAATAAATAGAAACATACCTTGTTTTGACCTAGTAATGAACAGTAGTCAAACCAACTGTAGTTTTAAATTTTCGTATATAACAACCGCTGAAGTTATAAATATTATAAAAACGTTTAAATACAAAATTGGCGGACGAAAACTGTTATCAGATGGAGTACTGAAAGACTCTATAGAGTATTTAGGGTACTTCTATGCACTTATTATTAATGATAGTGTGGAAAGTGGTATTGTACCAGAACGGTGGAAAACGTCGACAGTGGTACCTGTCAAAAAAGTCAAAAAGACAATACAACCAGAAGAGCTTAGACCAATAAATACCCTACCAAGTGATGCCAAAATATTAGAAGTACATGTCAAGAATCAACTGATGATGTACCTCGAAGAAAATAAAATTTTAGTCCAACAACAATCGGGCTTTAGGGAAAAACATTCGTGTGAGACAGCCCTCAATTTGGTGATAGCTGATTGGAAAGAAGAGCTAAATAATAAGAATGTAGTTGTTTCGGTATTCCTGGACCTCAAAAGGGCATTTGAAACGGTGGATAGAGACATATTACTAAAAAAACTGCAACGAATTGGTATAACTGGTACGGAGCTAGAATGGTTTAGCAGCTACTTGAAGCAGAGAAGGCAACGAACTGTGATAAATACAGCGATATCGGAGGAATTGGAAGTACCCATAGGGTTACCACAAGGGTCGGTTCTGGCACCGATATTGTTCCTAATTTACATTAATGATATTGTCAATGCCGTCGAGGGATGTGAAATTCGACTCTTCGCCGACGATGCATTAATTATGATAAGTGAAAATAATATTAATGTCGCTATATCGAAAATGCAAATGGCACTAAATAATTTATATACATGGCTGTGCGGAAATAGACTCAAACTTAATATTAACAAAACAAAATATATGATTATAACCAGAAGAAACTTTAATGATCTCAACGTTGAATTGAAAATAAATAATGAAAGCATACAAAGAGTAGATAGTATCAAATATTTAGGTATTATAATTGATAATAAACTTAAATTTGAGGAACACATAAAATACACCGTTGCGAAAGTAGCTAAAAAAATTGGGATTATGCAGAGAACATCCAAATATCTACATAAAAAATATAAAATACTTATATATAAATCTATTATTGAGCCACATTTTGTATATTGTCCATCGATATTATTCATAATATCAGATAGTGAAATTGATAAGCTTCAAAAGCTTCAAAACCGGTGTATGCGATTTATACTTAAAAAACGTAGTGATGCCAGAACGGCTGATATGCTGAACAGTTTAAACTGGCTAAGTGTTAAGCAAAAAATTTTCTTTCACTCCATGAAGTTAATTTATAATATAAAGCATGGTAATGTACCTGAATACCTTAGTAAAAATGTATTGTTAGTAGAGCAAACACACAATGTAAATACAAGGAATAAACAAAATTTTAAACTGCCATTGTTTAGAACGGAAATAGATAAACAAAACATTTTCTATAAAGGTCTAAAATGTTTCAATGAACTCCCTATGGATTTAAAAACCTGTAATGAAATCTTAGTTTTTAAGAAAAAACTGTATGAATATTGTAAAACCCTAGCTATAAGATAGCAAATTGTTAATGATACTTGAATTAGGCTCTCGTGGCCGTAATAAATACATAATAATAATAATAATAATATCACCCTGATATAGGTGCGCTCCTCAGAGGTGAAAACCGTATGGTAGTAGGTGACTTTAATGCGCACCACGATCTTTGGCACTCAAGCCTGTCAAACGATCGTAGGGGAACAGACTTGGCTGAGCAGATAGACGATTCGACATTCTGCACAATGAACGACGACGCACCCGCCAGGATTATGGGTAACTGCAGTAGCTCGCCAGACATCACAATAGTCAGCGCTGGTCTGATAAACAGCATAACGTGGCGACCTATGCTGACTCTAGCATCAGACCATCTACACATAGTCATCTCGATTGATAAACCAACCGACTTTGCCTCCGCCAAACACCGGACCTATATCAACTTTTCCAAAGCTGATTGGAAAGGTTACGCAGAGTTTACTGAAAACACCTTCGCAGCGCTCCCCACACCAACCGACGTCCATCTCGGTGAACGTAAGTTCCGCAGGGCTATCACTGCTGCTGCAGCTCGCTTCATACCGGCAGGACGTATATCGGACCCACGTCCAAACTTCCCTGCCGAAGCGGCTGTTCTAGCTGATGAGCGTGATAGCCTTCGTCAGGCCGATCCCGGAGATCCCCGTATCAGCGATCTCAACGCGGAGATTCGGCAACTTGTAAACGTACATAAGCGGAAGAAGTGGGAGGAGCACCTGAAGACTTGTAATTTCACCTCTGGTGTGAGCAAGCTTTGGTCAACCGTGAGGTAATTGTCTAATCCGACGAAGCACGACGACAGAGTCGAAATTTCTTTCGGCGACCATGCTTCGTCCGACCCGGAGCGATGCGCGAGCTATTTTAGCCGGCAGTTCATACTGCATCCTCCGGTAGACAAAGCCAAGCGTCGAGTGACCAGAAGGCTGCACAAACTGCCAACAACTTGTGCCCCCCTTGCTTTCACTTGCGGTGAAGTTCAGGTGGCCATCGGGAAGGCGAAAGCCTCCAAAGCCATGGGTCCCGATGGAATATGCATGCTGATGCTGAAAAATTTGGGTCCTGCGGGGGTAGCGTACCTAACGGAGGTCCTCAACCTGTCAATGGCCACTCTCATCATCCGAGACATATGGAAGGTGGGGAGAGTGGTCCCACTGCTCAAACCGGGGAAACCCGCCAACAAAGGAGATTCGTATCGTCCGATTACACTCCTTTCCCCGGTAGCGAAGACACTCGAGGCCTTGCTACTCCCGTACTTCACAAACCACCTGACCCCAGCGAAGCATCAGCATGGTTTCCGTAAAGTGCACAGTACAACAACAGCACTTAACGCCATAAACACTCAGATAACTCGTGGCCTTAACCGCAACCGTCCCTGTGAGAGAACGATTCTAGTAGCGTTGGACTTGTCAAAGGCGTTTGACACCGTCTGCCATTCCACGCTGCTAGAAGATATAGAGGCCTCCTCTCTCCCACAGAGGCTCAAACGGTGGTCGGCAAATTATCTGAGTGGTCGACATTCGTCGGTAATATTTAGAGACAAAACGAGTAAGCAGCGAAAAATAAAACAGGGGGGTTCCTCAGGGTGGTGTCCTTTCCCCGCTACTGTTTAACTTTTATATTTCAAAGCTCCCTCAACCACCAGAGGGAGTCTCGATTGTCTCCTATGCCGACGACTGCTCGATCATGGCGACTGGGAATGGAATTGATGACCTGTGTTTGAAAGTAAACGGCTATCTCTCCGAACTTTCTCGCTTCTTCACTGCAAAGTGTCTAGCCCTCTCCCCTACGAAATCCTCCGCGACCCTGTTCACAACCTGGACGAAGGAGGTCAGGCTACCGCTGGGGATTCACGTCGATGACACACCAATTCCGACGGTGAATAACCCCAAAATACTCGGAGTAACATTCGACAGCCTGCTCTCCTTCTCTGCGCACTCAACCGCTATTGTTAATAAAGTACAGAGCCGCAACAAGGTCCTCAAGTCGCTAGCCGGCAGTACCTGGGGCAAAGACAAAGAAACGTTGCTGGCAACATACAAGGCAATAGGCCGGCCGGTTTTGAACTACGCAGCGCCAGTGTGGTCGCCAGGGACTAGTAGGACGCAGTGGACGAAGCTACA